TGGAAGCGTCGAAGCATCTCCAAGACTGTGACAGTAAACACAGTTAGGTAGTTGTGGCGGAGATGAGCAGATAGTTTGTATGTCCATGTGCAACGCAGAATCAGATTGCTACTAATTACCCAGAAAAATACCTGTAACCACCGTAAAAGAAACGAGGGTAAGAATCTGCTATAAAAATTGCATAAGTGAACTTAGACAGCTAAAATCCTTACCCATTTCTGGCCATATAACAGGTTTGAAAGGTGATTTGGTTTGTTGAACTTGAATATCCTAGAAAAGCCACTAAAACAAAAGGAAAGAAAAATACAATAATTATTATGCATACCAACAGATAAATCAAATAGAATTACACTAAACCAAGCAAAAAAAGAACAAAAAACAGCTTCAATTAATGGTTACAAGTTTTAAGCAGTGATGGAGTATGTCCTAATAATAGTCCTAATTTCTACATAGCCCAATCAAAATTTATTAATGGTCTATATTATTCTCATGTTCCAGCAATACATGCCATCATGAGTTAAAATAAACTTTACAAGAGGAGTTAAGAAAAAGGCTTCAGTTCCCTGACACAAGTGGGTAAGCAAGAATACCATACCTCATGTCCCAATCACGAGTTACATCCCAATAGAATGAATAGAGCGAGTTAACCAGACTTGAGAGAAGCCAGAGTGGACGATAAATGGATGTCCACCTATCAGGTAAGACATGATATTTAAGGGCCGAAAGAAAAATCACAGGGACTGCTGTCGAATATTTTAAGGCTGAAAACCACATTCAAATGGGGTTACAATAATGCAGTAGCAAAGAATAAGGATTGAAGAATAGCCATACATATGCTGATCAAATCTTTTATATAAAACAGAACAAAACCAGTGGCTGAATCATTGCAAACTTAATATACTGAAATGATTCAAGTGTTTACAAACAACAAAATTTAAGAAATTTCTTCAGACATAAATGCTGCACAAGTTACTAGTTCATAATTCTTGCTATCGGTTAACTAAGGGACAAAGAATGATTGCAACTTACCTCGAAAATGATGCATAATGCTAATGTTCAACATCTTTCCAAAACTATAAATGATTAAACGAAAAGATGACATAAATAACAGAAATACATTACCATTAAAAAGTGTAGCCTTTTCCTTTGTATCCTTGTATTGACGAAGACATTGCATCAACCGCCAAATATAGGGAAAAACAAGCACCAGTGGAATTGCAGCAGAGTGACTACCACAAACTGAATCAGCTTCAAACCATGCAATGGTGGCCACCTACATTTCAACAGAAACCTCAAATTAATCATCTAAACATAAGTTATTATCATACATGTAGGAAGAAAAAAAAAAAAAACTTGTTCAAATTTGAAGAGTTAGTATGGGTTGATGGATTGACCAAAATCCAAGTTTAAGCAGAAATAAAGAAAGGACTTGTATTAAGACACTGACCATTCCTGATTAATTCTCTTAAATATCCAACCAAAAAAAAAAGAAGAAAAAAAGAGCTGTTTCATATGTCCTAAAAAGCCCACAAATGATTCTTCCTATAATTCAAACACTTTCTGTTCTAAGGTCATATTTCAATTATTTTTTACTCCGTGGAAAACTAATGGGAGAAGACCAGGTTGTATACGCATCAAAGTTGCAGTGATAAAATTCTTTTCCTCCATATTACAAAGGAAGGATTTAACTTCAATTCAACTAAAAAGGAGCAAGAGATCAACAGAATGAATGAAGGAGCAACATTGGCAGCAGATATTGAGGATTGAAACCCAAAAGAGTTTCGTTGATCAGGGGACAGTGACTGCTTTGGTTTCAATCAGTTGGCAATTAAAAGTACAGTTTTATTAAGTAACTAAACTTTAACTTACTTAACCTCTGAAGAATAACATTAGAAAAGGCCCTTCAACCTTAAAGTAAATTACCTGGCGATGAACCATACGGCAAACTGAACGTTCCAAATCTGAAAATACCTGCACTCAATTGACAATTACAAGTACATTATAAAATGAAGCTCCTTTCATGGAACTCAATGATTCCAATAACGTAGCTTTGGCCTAGGATAGAAAAGTTTGAAAGAGTAGAGTAGGAAAGCTGGTACTTTCCATGCTATACAATCTATCTGAATCTAAAATGCAGGAAAATAGAGCTTCTCCAGGACAGTGCAGATTCACAACACCATTCCTAAATATGTTCCTAGCTATAGTTTTTCGATTAAATACACACAAAAAAAAAAAAGGGACCAAAAAATGATGCAGCTTCATACCTTAGCCATGGAGGTCAGGACATCAGCCAAAAAGAAGTCAGGAAATGTAATTGGCTGTTACATGGCAATCACATACAAGCAGTTAGAAAGGAAATCCAAATACGTCTCAGCATAGAGAGAAGTAACTTTTCAAAAGCTGAATGAAGTTGTGTAAGCAAATATGATAATATGTAAAAGGAATCTTCAAAAGAAGAGTAAAATTTGCAAAGGAAATACAGTTGCCATTAACTTGCCTGAAGGGGGAGAGCTATCCTCCATAATGTCCTCAGTAAAAAGTAACGAGATGACAAATAAAAAATGTCAAAGGGGAATATCAAAACCAAAGTAACAGCAATATACAGGAACACCTGCAATAGGTATTTAAAAGATCAGAACAATTTAGACACATACAAATAAACCACTGGAAGATGGAAAATCAACCATATTCTAAGGGAAGAAAACAAAGCAGCACATGGTTGGATACTCACATAGACAAACAGAAAAATATATGCAAAACATAAACCAGCTAGGTTTTCATTCTTCTCCAATGAAGCACATAATAAATAACAAAGAACAATATAGACAACACACTAATCCATCAAACAGAGTTTACAGCTCCTACTTAATTTAAAAAATAAAAAATAAAACAACCTTCTACTGCAGCAAGCAATGATATGCAAAAGAGAGGTAAACCATAAATAGATGATATCAGAATGACAGGCTATCATCTGGAATGAGTACAATAAAATTTAACAGCTGCAAATATAATGCAACAAAATTGTATAATGGGCAGGAGAGATACTACACTGGTTGTGATGCAGCCAATGATACTTCTCCATGGGAGTAGAGATACAGGTATGCTGTCATGCTAGTTGGGACAATAATGGTCATCCAAACACTACACTGCATATAAAAGATAGAAATGCATTAGAAATTTTACTTCATTTGAGTGGATGTTCACATAAAAATCATCAAAAAAACCAAAAACCAGAGTTCAAGACCTGAGGAAGATGGTAAAAAATAAAGTCAAATTTCCTTTGCAATAATTAAAAATAAAATTATTGACAAAGTTCAAGCTGCCGCTGCAGCTTCCAAAAAAAAATCCAATTGACAATAGGTGCATTTTGCATGAGTACCTTCCATATATCTTTGTGAGTAAGATGATTTTGATCAAGATCAAAAATTTTTGCATAATTAACACTGCCCTGTGAGAAAACCCATAAGCTCACTCCCCAGAGCCAAAATATCATTGTCTGCAATAACACAACCAAAAAATAAGAGTCCATACGCATTTGGTATCAAAGAGTAATAAAAGCCCAAAGAGATAATTGTCAACTGACCACAAGAAGAAGAGGGTTATAGTACAAGAAGGCCTCATATAAGAACAAATCCCGTAAGTCTGCACTCATTCTCATGACTGAATTCCATCCAATCTATTCAAAAAAAGAATTACCAACTTTAAAATGACAAAGTGGTCAAGAATATTGAAGAGCTAAAATGTGAGAAACAAAATTAAACTGACCTTGCAACAAATGAAACCCCACAGAAAAAACAACATAACCTGAAATCCAATCAAATTGAAAAAATAATTAAAAAAAAGTCAAAAAATAAAAGTTAATCAAAAGGAAGAAGAAAAAATTTAAAGGCCAAGCTTACAATAGAATAAGTATACTATATGAGGAGTAAGGACCAAACAGACACTAAAATATCAAACCTTAAACCTCCAGAGCAAGATGGGAGAAGGCATTATAACTGCACTCGGCAGTGGTAAACTTGCACCCTTCATTTCACCCAGCACCAATGGAAACACATAACCTTCTTGGACACTATTTGCAGGATCGCTTATACCTGAAATAAAAAAGAAATTAAATGGATCATACAAGATGTAAAAGAAAATAGGAAAATAGATATTAATGAAAAAAAAAAAAAGAATAAGCAAAAGCTTTTGACAGACCTCATGATGGATAAATAACAATAGGAACTGTACATAGTACAGCAAACTTTCATGGAAGTGACCAAGTGCATTTGATTAAAGCATCAGTGGCAATCCTTTTGTTTAAAAGTGGAACTTCCATTCCTAATTTTCGAGAATAATGCCGTTAAATTGATGCATGTTCTCAAATGCATGAGTTGTGGTCAACTTTCTACAAGTCTTGAACGAGTTCACACTTTTCAAAAGAATGAAATAGCAGTCTTAAATCATTATTTTATTCAGTTCCAATGCCACAGACTCAAAAATATACATTGCATAAACACAGCAGAGTAAAGATGTAAACTAATCATGGTGAGTTGGTTACTATCACGAAAAATTTAGTTTACCTAGGTCCGAGACAACAGCTCTATTGCCCAGTTTGCGAAGATGAGGACTATGAGATGCTCCAGGACTTTCAAACATGGGGAATGTCCTGAATAGTTGTGATTCTAACTAGTATAGGTCACATCCTGCAAACATAAATTAGAAAACTCATCAAAAGACAGCAGAAAGCATCAATTCTCAAAACGAATAGAATTCTTCTGAATTCAAATTAAAATTTACAGCAACAGCTAGATGCAACAAATAATAACATAACGCAGAATTGGTATGATTCGCGATTTCGTAATCTCCTACAATAGATATCTATAAAGACATTTCAAGAGCGTTTCTATGCCATACGTGAAAATTTTACTACAAACAAATCGCAGATCAGGAAATGAATATCAGAGAAAAACGAATTGACATCAGAAACAAAATAATTAAGCATTTACAGAAAGAATTCGCAGCAACTTTGTTACCAGTAATCAAAAGATCCGTTAAAAACTGAATAGAATGCAGAGAGATGATGGCTAAACCGTGCGATTGAATGCGAGGAGGTGAGTTCAGATCGGAAAAAGGAGAATTGACGAGAAAGGAAATTCGCGGCGGATTACCAGCCGGAGAAGAGAAGGAAGGCTGAGCATCTGCTGAAGTTTCTTCGTCTGCGTTTGGCAGATCTGTGGAGGTTTTAACGGGAAGAGAGAAGAAGGCGATGCTTGCATTTCACTTCACCGCGTCGGTTGCATCTTCCTCTCCATCGCCATTGCCATGGCTTCGGTTTTGGGGGGTAAATTGCGTAAATAATTAAATTAATTAGCGCCGGCGCTTTCTAATTTTTTTATATTTCTTCGTCATGTTTTAATTTTTAAAACGGAATAATAATTAT